TACCAATTAAATACAAAGTTATGATGCATTTTATGAGCACCACTGATGGATGTTTCTATGCTAGTCACTCGCACTCACACGTGAGGTGTTGAACTGACTGGGTTCAAGGGTTTAATCAGTAATCAACAACAGGGTGTTGCACTTGCAATATGGTAAACCATAATGGAGTGCTCCTGAAATCAGAGGTTCAATTTTAAATCATATGATATTGCACATGTTGTAAAACAGACAAAACAAAAGTCTCATCTTTATTTCATCTTTAACTCTACTTTAAACTATCAATTGCACACAATAATTTGTTTAAAAGGAGAACAAAAACAATTTATCAACCAAGAAAACCAAAAAAATATGAATGATTTACATTCAATTACATGAACATGAAAGTTTAATCAGGGAAAATGCTGGTTGCATTTGTATAATTATACTTGTGCGCCTCTACGGTTTTTAATATTGTGAAAAAGTCCTATTTTTAAAAACAAATTTACAGAGTGAAATATTTCAATCCTTTGTATAATACGACAGTTTGACTTCCTGAAATGTCCTAATATTAATATTTGAAAGATGTACGAGTATATTTAGAGCAAAAACTCTCCTCCAAAATCCAGAGAATCCTGTTAGTGGCCGTTGAGCCTGGCGTTGGAGCGAACACTGCTGAACCCCACTATCAGGTGAAATGAAGCGTGTATAGCTGCACTGAGCGTAAAACACAGTATTTATATAATCACCAGCAATCACACAAATCATATGTTTCAAAGCGGCCAGACCCCCAAAATCACAACACGCTAATAAGGTCTTTTCACACTGGAGTAGTGCTTCTCAAACTGCGGCGCTGGTCACCATTGTGACTGCTGCACTTCTCAGGTTCCAAGCCGCTACTTTTATGGAGAAAACATACATAGAAAACTGTCTATTTTATTTTGTGTGCTCCTGCGCAGGATGGGCGAGGAACGTTTATGCGCTGATTTTGAACCGCTATGTTGAAATCTATTTTTTACATAAACTCAACATTACTAAACTCTCTCTTACTGCATTTTAGTCACATTCGAAAGAAAACCCAGTGGCATTCAAACGTTCATGAACTTATTCTCACTCCTAGTTAAGAGCGAACAGCTGACCTAAGGTAAAGAATAGAATGCTCCGGGGTCACTAAATCTTGGTATTTTGTTTCCGGCAGAGGGAAACAAAATAGAAAGAAGTTGCTTTTTAGAACACCTAAAACACAAACCTAAATAAAACAATCATAATAAAGTTTGTGTTATGGTTAAGTGCAGGGCAGGGACAGTAAATCTGGTTAGGCATAAAGTAAGACTAAATGCCAATGTACACTTCCCCATAAAGTGCCGAACAAACCCTCCTGCATACAGTAAAAACATGTTCACTTCGTCCGCGGTGACAAAGACCTGAGCTGTGATTGATTCTCTAAAAACATTGATGGGGCTGGCGCAATGACACACTGCCAACTGTCTGCATTCTGTGGTATTGAGTAGCGAGGGAGAAAAAAAAAGTCTCTGATTTTATTTTTAAATGTAGGTTCTTTCATTCATTGATTCATTCACTCTCATCTCCAGGAACAGCTGCAAAGTAAATTCACAAAGCACTAATAAGAAGTATACATAGAAACCATTCGTCTTGGGGCATTTGCAGTAGTCCTATTTGTACCCTTCCTCACACTCTGCAACACGGACCATATTTTCATCTAACACAATTAACCTGGGGGCAGAGAAATAACCTTTGGAGAGAAGATAATTACAGCCTCATGAAAACTGCTAGCTTCCTTATCTTATATGTAAAACTAGTGCAAAATGGGTAATGATAAAAGAGCAGCTGTTGGACTAGTGACATGGATAACTTATATATTTAGTCTGCTTAGCTGCTTCTGTGAAGCCCTCTATATGTCAACCAGTCAAAAAAATATAATAAAAAATAAAATAAAACACGGTTAAAATATTATGATAAAAAAATTCTGTTAAAGCTAAAAAAAAATTATAATGTATTTGGATAAAAAAAAAAATACACATTTCCATAAAAATTACAATAAAATCTAAGTTAAAAATGTGGTAAAAATAGAACATTTTCAGTTAAAAATAATTCAGTCATTATTTTAGAAAAAGAGGTTAGATATAAAGTAACTTGTTTATTCAAATTAAAAAATAATAATAATCTTGAGTCGAACAAGTTTACACGTTTAAAGGACTTGACATAAATAATCAACTGATGTCAAAAACTAGTGAGATTACCTTGAAATTTTTTTTTATGTTCAGTCTGAATGTAGCACCCATTCAGGTCTGTATTTTGTAGCAGCCTTATCCAGCAGTCTGAGATGTCAAGCCTGAAGGTGTGCCAGAACGCATCCAAAGCCGAAAACCTAGACAACCTTTTCTTGTTTCTCTCAATGTGGAGGAGCAGCAACTCTATTCTGAGCACCTGTGAATGAGCTCCTTCACCCTATCGCTAAGGGAGCACCCAGCCACTCTGCAGAAACTCACTTAGACCTCTTGTTTCTGCATCTGAGGGTGGGGACCAGTGGTGACAGATACAATCACAGCCACAAGGAGGTGGGCTGCCATTTTTGCAGCTTTATGAGCCAGTTCTGGTAGTCCTTCAGAGTCTGGTGTCCAAACCGGTCCAGAAAGGGCCGCTGTTACTGCAGGTTTTCTATCAGACCCAAGGGGAGCAAAGCAGTGGTCCCGCCCACAAGAAAATTGTGAAAAAAATGCATCTGCGCATGCGTCCGCTGGCGAGAGCTCCATTCATTTGAACGAGAGACTTCAAAAATTCACAGCAAGTAAACTAGAGTGGTCTAAAAAAATTCACCCCCCTCAGCATTGACACACATGTGGAACGGAGCTTTGGGCCAAGAGCCAGCTTTTGGACCATCCTGTAAAGACGTTTTCGAGAGGTCTGCCAACGCTATATGTTAGCATTGGCTAATTCTACTTCTGGGTCCACCCTCGTCGGCCCGGGGTGGTATTGCAAGCATGTCAGCCCACGTCATTTTGGCCACTCTTGAGGCGAAACCTGCCCCCACTGGTCTAAACATGAACAGCTAGGCCCGTGTGATCACTGCACTATGTATGCTACCTGACGCATTCTCATGGGAAGCTGAAATAGTCACTAATGACCTGCACTAGGACTGAAAAACCAGCACTGCTATTGCCATAATATACCAGTATGTACATAATATATCTGGCACAAAAGAGACTACAATTTTTAACCTTTAACATGTTTGCACACTTTCTGTTTTTTTGCACAATATGAGTGATACTATCTATGCCAAATGTGCCAAATTTCTCCATTGAGAGATCAATAAAGTTTCTCTTATCTCATCTCAATCATATATTTTGTTCAGTTTTCCTTCTTAGTGATTGAGAATTTCTTTGAATATTGAGAAGAGGCCACAAGCTGTCCATATATTACTGGTGAAAACGCAGATTTAGCAGTAACTCATATAATAAACCAGATAATAAATCACTACAAAAAAGGCTTAGTAAACAAGTATTTTTTAGGGAACTGTTATAAAAACACAATTTCTGTATTACTGCAGTGACCCAAAGTAGCTCAAAATCCTACAGTATTTCTTATGCACATCCAGACAAACCAAATCAAACTACTATTCACCACAATGATTTTGATGCTGTTGAGGATTCATACTAGGATTTATACAATTGCTATGTTAGTTTTCATGTATTTGCACTCACTCGCATTATCTGAACGTTAATGGTGTAATCTACTGTTGCTACTAGAATTAATAGAGTTCATGGAGCGATCGCTAACGGCTATTTGTTAGAAGAGATAAGTAAGGGAGGTGAGGGCAGATGTAGATTTTATTTTTTTGTTTTTACCCAATCACTGATGACATGGGAGGGGGCTTCTGGGATTGAGGAGTTCCTGATTGGACAGCCCTGAGCGAGAGAGAGGGGATTCTGTGCAAAACTCAAACAATTCAGCAGACAGACAAAAAAATACGAAATAATAAAATAAAGCATTTCAAACACACAGGTCAAACGTCATCAAAGAAAGAAGCAAACATTTTTTTGGTGAGAAGAGAAATAGAGAGACATAGAGAGAGAGAAAGAGAGAGAACAAGTGAACCAACAATAGAACACAATGGAGACACAACTCAGCAGGTGTGTGGTGCGCTGTGAAAGGAAGCAGAGGCTGTTTTTGTCCAAAGAAATGGGTAAACATGTGAATAGATTATGGGATAGGTCTGATGTAAATGTATTTTAAAGATTATATCATACATATTTTGTGTTGTTTAAGTATTGCTGATTTGAAATTTCATGTATTAGATCTTTACTGTTTGTATGAAGCTAGTACATACGCCTTTTGCACAAACTCAAACTAACCCTCATTCTTACAATCACATACATGTTTAATAAAATACTATTTCTTATCAATGTTAAACAAGAGTGGATTAAGGAAAGGGGATGCTCTGAGACATACATCCATTTCGTTTATTCATGTGACAACTGTTTTGGACCAATGACCAATGGTTTAATGGTTTGATTTTCTAATTTTCTATTAGAGACTAGATTATCCTTAAAAATGTGGGCAGTCCAAAAATACATTGAGTTGTTGCAGTCATGTATCTTTGAGAATTAAACTCCCTGCTTCCTTTCATGATAAATTATAAAAAGCAGGAGAAAAAGAAAACACACAGATGGATTTACAGCAGTTCACATTAAAACAAAATAAGCAGCTGATGAAGGAAAATGTAAAAAAATAAAAATAAAATTAAATAAAAATAATCTATAAAATGAGTGTGCTTTGTTTGTGCAGGGCCGACAACCAGGCTTATCGACCCGAGAAAAATCACTCCGCATATCTCCAATAAATACAGATTCGAGAGCAGCTTTTGTCTAAATCATATCTTGGATTTTATTTAACTGTTTGTAAAGCATGTTCCAAATAGTCATAGTTTTGAAGTGATAAAATTAAGTCATTTTCGAGGCTGGTTGTCGGCCGCTGTGTGGAAAGGATGGGGATGGAAAGCATACCCGGCCCTCTCTTTTAGTTTCATGTCGGTAATGCCGTCTTTGGAAACCAGTTTGTTAAAGACCAGAATCCCAATGACCATGTTCACCTGCAACACAAAGACACACAGGGTTAAAGAGGAACGCACAACATGTAGAAGCTGTTGGATGTCCATGATAGAAATAGCCGTCTGCATTGAACCCACTGATCAGAACCTGAGCTTGTTGATGTTTACCTCAGAAGCGTGTTTTGGTTGATGGAGGGGAAGATAAAAATCCAATATGTCAATTCCACACAGAAAGCTTGGTCTCTGCAGGAAGGTGAAGCGGAAATACGGCTGAATGACTACATTAGTTAAAAGCTATTTCAATAATGGATTAGATTATTAGTTTAACTTGTTATAGCCCAGACCTTAAATAAGACGTTGTAGCGAAAATTGGCTTGATTTTAATGCGTTACTTGTTTCCGTGATTGTTTAGCTGTCAAGCCAGAAAAGTCTAATCTTCCTAAAAGACGTGGTTGCGATTTTTTCAAGCGTGCAAGACAAGACAAAAAAATGCAAGGATGTTCTTTTTGTTACAGTTAAAATTGGCATTTATAAGTCAAATGTACATATAATGATATTTAAAACAAATGTCCAACAAAATCCAACAGAAAAAAATAGAGCATACATTTGAATCTGTGTGAGTAACCTAATATTAAAATGTTATATAGTATGACAGTAATCATAGTTCCTCGCTCTAAACCCTTTGGCTCTAACACTAAAGATGAAGACAACATATAGTGGTCTGATGTGTGTACACAATGTTACTTAGCAGACTCTTTCTGTTTGAACAAACAAAAACATTTGAATCTCACTTAATTCACACTATGGCTGTGGCCAAGACACTTGGTACAATCCAAGGAGTTTGGATGCCACATTCTGTCAAGCAGCCCTTTCAATACTCTACAATGAGGGGATTTTGAATACATGTAATGTCCTATACACAAGTCCTTCATTGTAATTTTGTGGTCACTTATGTAAGGTATGCAAGGCACCACATTGCTTTGTGTGATAAATGCCAAAAGCTCCATTGTCAAATATGGCAACAAAGATTTCAAAAGCGCTTGCAACTCTGAATAGCTCTGATAATTCCCGTTCACAACACATTTTCTTCCTTCTATGAAATCCGAAATCACAGACAGTGGGTGGGAGATCCTTTTGGCAATTGGTAAATACTATAATTTGCTTTGAAGAATTCTCTGTCTCCAGAAATGTGTGTGAGTCTTGTTCAGAGTGGGCTGGCCTACTTGTTTGGGCTGCCAAACCGGGACTAAAGCCTTTATTAAAGCAGGCAGCTCGAGAAAAGAAGCCAGAGCGCATGCTGTTTACTTGTTTGGAGGATAACACAAGCTAATGGACAAGCCAAGACAACAAGGACAGTGGCTTTTAGCTCTCTCACTTCAACTATGATTGAATAATAATTGGCTTGTATTTATGCATATGTATCTTCAAATTGTTTTAACACTGGGAGATGTTTGTTTTAGCAGCAGCTGTCGCAGACTGGGACACTGCCTGACTTTACATCTCTACAGACTCTGAAATTATTTATTTGGCAATTATGTAAAACATAGTGGATTCAAATTATTAATAAGTGCAGCTGTGTGGTTATAGAAGAAGCCAAACAGACGTTGCCTCACAAAGAAATGTGTTTGGGAAATGCTTTACAGCTGTTTTGAAATGTTTCACGCCTGGTCCTGATCTGTATTTGATGCATGATTCCAAACGCAGCTGTGTGTGTGAGTATGTGTTTATCTTTGCTTGTTTTAATCTCTACGATAGTGATGGGTTAGTTATATCTACATATAACTATGTAGTTGGTGTCCTGGACCAGACACCAACCCTAGCCCTAACCTGTCTGTGTGGAGTCTGCATGTTCTACCCTAAAACTTAAGAGCATGTACGATGGTTTAGGATACAGCACCTGCTGTTCATTAATACAAGACTGTCCCATAAAAAAAAACATATATTCTATCTTGCACCAAACTCCATTTTTGGTGTCAGTATTTCGAAAGATTGATATTGAAGCATTTAGAGCTAGCTAAGAAACATAGCAGCTACTTATGTTGTATATTTTGTGTGCTCCTACTACTGTCCTGTATGTGCGCTGCAACATTGAAATTTCCCCACTGTGGGACAAATAATCTTATCTAATCTTAGTATTGCCATCTTAGTGGAATGACGGATAGAAAAATGCCTAATTCTTATTTAACATGTTGATATGTATACACATAATTGTCACCTTTTGACAACACAAATTAGGGATGAATAAGAAACAAAATAAAAGCACCCATAATTCTTGATTACACGACCGGAGTTATAAATCCTCACAAATGATTCTGTATCAAAATTATATTAGATAGAAATGGGATGATACAGATTATCTAATAAACTAGGTTATTATTATCACTGTACAAAAGTGCAAGAAGTGAAAGTACCAGAACAACAGCAGCAGCAGGTCCCACAAAGGCATAGAGTAGACCCCCCTCCAAAGAGAGCCAGCAGCTGCAGAGGACAGAGCACACGTTAGCATGCGTGTGTATCAGAAACACAACATGCAAAATCGTTAGTCAGAGAAATTAGAAAAGAGGTTAGTTATTGCTTTTTGAGTCCGTTCTGAGTTATTGTTGCCGATAATGGCACTGCATAGAAACATTGTGTTGTAAGCAGCAGGAGCAACATTTTCATCACATGTCAATTCTATTTGCCTAAAACAACTACTACTAAAAAAAGTATGATGCACTAAAAAAGGAGCCTGTGCCAGCATTTTTGCAGTTGTTTGTTTTGTTATTTACACAAATGCAGTAATGGTGATAAAGTGCTTACTAGCTGGGTGTCCCGTATCCCTTTGCTTTAGTAAATCCCACAGAGATGGCCACCACGAGTGCAGGCAGACCTGGAGGGGAGGGTAAACATAGTGTGAGCAAACAACAGTAGCAGCCTGGGGCAAATGTACTGTACCAAAACAGACGCATCACAGACACCACATATTCCTCACACATAAAATACACACTAGTTAGTCATTTTTGTATTCTTTAACATGAGGAGTTCACTCACTTTAATATGCTAATTAGTGTATTCTAAACAAAACGCCAGAAGTTGAAATTTTATGACTTTTACTGGGTACTTGTTGTTTATATTTTGGTGTGTTTTGGTTTTGGAAAAAGTAAAGAAAACAAGATTTACACGCATTTTAACTTTTCTAAATCACAGCCCTTTCTGCTGCCCCATAGGGATACATGGTGCAGGGGCGACTGTTGTCATAGTAACCTTTCCCGGGGGTTTTTCGCGCCTTATAAAAATGTATCAATATGTTGTCATTAGACTCTAAAGGGACTTGAGTTTTTTTTTTTTTATTATTATTATTTGGGAGAGAGAAAGAGTTTTGAATTGAGGGGAGTACAAAATTAACCTGGCAAGAGCCAGATTGATGATTGTGTAGAACTCTAACGCGTTCTCCACGATATCAATCTGGGATTTCTCCCGGAGAATCCTTTCGGGGAAAGGAGGGATAAGCAGCAGAATACTTCAAGCTGATTGGGCGAAGTGACGCTGTGTGCCCGCCTACCAAGGTTGCCGTCCAGAAATGCACAAAGCGCCTCTCGCTGTTCATCTTTCAAAAAAGAAATTGGAGATTCTGCTAAAACTGACTTTGCGTCCGTCCTCCTGCGTAGCCATGTTTGTTTTGCTTCGGCCCGGCACTTCTTGCTTTCGTCAAACCCGGATATCCCGCCCTAAACCCCCAGACTGGCGCGTGATTGGCTCGCACACCCAGTGGTTCGACTCGAAAAGTGTAAGCGGGAGCGGTACAAGATGTATTCTCGAGTGTTTGTGAACTCACAAATACCGCGAGAATTCAGCTTGCAGGCAAGGTTAGTACAAAATGAATAGAGCTGCAAGTACACGGTATGAAGCCCTGTGCTTCATACCGTGTACAGTGCTTCAAGACATTGAATGAGAACAGTCTGACGGAGGTGAGATGTCACATTTTGAGGTGGAAAGTGACAGCGGGGAGAACACCTATAATATTCTAAATCTGAACGTAAACCCATAGTGCATTCACGGCACGGACAGCAGTGTTGTAACAAGTCCAGAAGCAATAACGCACATGACCCGCGTAATACCAGCCATACGCAGGTGTCTGTGTGCGCGCTGTTGCTCCATTCTGCCTTTTCATTCATCATCAATTACATTATTATATTTATACATAGAAGAAGGCAATAAAGCAGAATACAATATCGCAATAAAATAGAACAATTAGATGAACTATCAAGGCAGAGTGCAGAAAGAGCGCTGTGAGTCCTCTCGTCACCCGCGGACACCTGCAGGAGGAGAGCGACTGTGGCAGAAGCGGCCCTCATTATCAATAAGGATATCATTCTTATTTCATTCAGATAACACTGTGTGTTATTCTGCACAGCGCGCACTGCAAGGCAATTATTATAATTTTGTCCCGTGTAAAATTGAAGATTTTACATTGACGATGGTAGCCTCGCTGATGATCTCGTGTCAATACAAATACTATTATTATTATCTAGATAAAATTTCCCACGGTGAATTCGGCTGGCAAGAGAAAACCGTCTGGAGATGACGTAAGAAGCAGACGCGTATAGCAGCGCGAAGACATTATAGTCCTGTGCTTTTCTAAACTATTATTTATACTGTTTGAATTTACATATTGTTACTGAGTCAATGTAAAATATAGTGACCAACCTTTTAGGTGTTTGCAAAGTTACAAAATAAATCTAGCCTGAAAAGTCATCGTAATTTTGATGGATCAGTACACGCACAATGTGTCGTCTTAGCCTATAATTTCGGCTAGAATTACAATTACTTTGCATATTTAGACAATTAATTTACACAGTTTCATTATAATCACGATTTCCTTGCAACATCAAGTTCTGGTTTAGTGAACAATAAAATTTGGCAAAAGGCTGTATCAGCGCAAAATACATAGCGGTCAACTGACCGCAGGTATGTTTAGAGCACGGTGGTCCTAGTGTTAAATAACTGCATGCATCACCATGTTCATTTGTTTCATTTGTGTGGATGTGTGCTACCGTTGACAAAACTATCAGGACCCGACATTTATAGATACTAAATATTCCACATTCTATGAAACTGATGTTTGTTCTATTATTGGGTTTCATATCAAGTCAGTGCAGTGGGGGCGAATAACAAACGTAGGACAGGACTAGACATATCCTGGTAGTGCAGTCTGGGTTTATACACGGAGATGTAGTAGAAGAAGCGCTGTCAAAATGCCATCTTTTTGTGCGGTGTACGCTTGTAGCAACCGCGCAAATAGAGAGAAAAACAAGAGTTTCTTCCGTGTTCCAACTGTGCTCTCATATAAAGGAGTACACTTTGAAAAAATTACTCAAATGAGGCAGGCGAGGTGGATCAAGGCTTTCCCATATAAGCGCCCCCTGCAGGTCACCCGAATGAAACGCAGCAATTTCTTCTGTTTTTTTTTGCAAAAATGCCCGAAATTAAGACTTTTTTTAGAAATAATTTTTTGTACTCCCTTAGAATTGAGTGTGCCCCTCCCGATTAAGACTGTTACAACAACCGTACACCGCACAGGATGAGAGCCTTTTGACTCCAAAACAGACACGATTTACATGGTTTTCAAAGGGAGCAAAACTGAGTTGTCCCACCTCTGCACATTCGCCCCCTACTGGCCAGTTTAATGAAACATAAGAATAGTTTCTTTGTGTGAATGTAGTGTGTAACTTATTGACCAAAAAAGAGGATTGTAAAATGATCACAGTATTAGTCCTAGAATAAGACAGACTTTATTGATCCACAGTTGTGCGTCGTCACAATAGCTTGCATAGTATTCCACAATAAGAAAGGACCTTAAAGTAACAATCTGTAAATAAGAATAATAATAAGATGAAATTGTGAGAATAGAATAATCTGGATATACAGTATACAAACTCAGGAATACAGTATACTGTACATATCTGTGAATATGTACACATTTAAAGTATAAATTATCGGAATAGAGAATCAATTGTACACTGTCATCTGGCTGTGTTAAGTTAAGCTGTTTTGTTGTATTGTCTATATAAACTTAGTCATAGGAAATGTCTTTTTGAATGCACACAACCCATTTCGTTCTTAACATATTTGTTCCATCAACCAGTTATTCACAAACTCTCACTGGCCGCTCAACAATACAAACTCACCCCATCCCAGACAGAGGAAACGTTTGCGTATGATCCTGTTCCGGAGACGCCCAGTCACCGCCATGTAGGACTGCCAGGCCTCGGTCAGCACCCAGCAGAACGATGACAAGAAGAAAAAATGCAGAAAGGCAGCGATCAGCGTGCACAAGATCTGGAATATATAAAACACTGTGTCACATAGAAACAGGCAAAGCAAGAGCAGGGTCAGAGGCGGGCCGCTCTCATTGACCGGTACCTTGTTGCGCGTCTGGGTCTGTCCAATCAGAATCAAGGCGTTGGAGGAGATGATGGAGAGGCAGAAGTTGATGAGGATTACAGAACGCTCCGATCGGATGTATCTGCCACAGGAACAAAAGTATGAGAGTCTGAATCAGCGTGTTGTAGTCAGGGGAATGGAAATGTAAACAAAATATTGGGGGTGTGAAAGAGAAAAGGAAGCATTTACAATAGTCACTAAGTATGAGTGCGTCACAAAACGTTTCACATTCCACCATAGCCTATTTTGAAAATTGCACTTGACGTCAAAATCAGGTTCAGACTTTTAGTGGCCCCTGAAATTATGTTTGATTGTTATTATTATTAACTTGCAGAAATGATGGTATTAGCTTACTATTGCATTGCATTTTAAAGCTTACTTTAAAATAGCCACATCATTCAGTGTCTTCTAAAATGTTCATCCAGCACATCCTTAGAAGAAAAATATGTAATTGAACGTCTTCAAATACCCGTGAGCCTAAAATCACTTTTGATCTCAGCCATTTGAGTACGGTAATTGTTTTTGCCATAATGTTCTTTAAAAAGTGTACAGTAAATGTATTTGGTTGATAAATATGGCATAACTGTCCTGCACTGTCCTGTATCCGTTGTAACTTAAGTGCTCTCAGATTCAATAGCCGAAACATTAAAAAGTGAATGAACCTTTATGGAGCCCTTGAGAATGTTTTTGATTGCATTGTGAGCTCACCTCCACACAGAGACGTAGATGATGATGAGGAGCAGCAGCGTCAGAGAAGACACTCCACAGCCCACGATGAGCGTCACGGAGGGAACCAGCCCTGCTTTGTCCATGTTCTGAAACACACGCGACAAGAAAGGTCAACCATCGGCTCTACAAAACAAATCTCTGCTTAAGTGTGCCACGCAGATTAGAGCAAAGAATCCCTATATGTGTAAAAGTGAGTGAAAAGTACTTGGACAGGTTCCTATGGTTACGCATACATCAGAGTAGAATAGAATAAGCACAGGATGTCAAACTAGTGCTTGTTTCTAGGACCTAAAATGTAATAGAATGCTACAGCCTGAGAAAGTCTCTATTGGTTTAAATTGTAATGAATTCATATGTTTTTCATATTTAAAAAAATCCAAATGTTTCAATCAATCAATCAATCTTTATTTGTAGAAAGCTTTTCATACACAAAGTGCTTCACAGTCTCTGTCACATGAGGCATAAATCATTAAAACATTTCAAAAAGGCATTAAAAACAACCATTAAGATCACAGATAATATTAAAAACATACATTAAAATCACACAGGACATTAAATACAAACCTTAAAATCACGCTAGGTATTAAAAACATAACAATTAAGATCACACAGATAATCAACCAATCAACCAACAAGGGATTAAAATAATTATAATCAACCAGAGTGCATTACATTTAGTAAAGATACAGTACATTCCTCAAACAGAACTGCAGAAAAGTGTTGACGTTTTCTGAATCCCCAATGTCAGAGGGATTGAACAATTCTTTGGTGTCTGTTTTCAGTACCAGTCAGGGGGGAGCAATTGTTCACATTTTCAGACACTCACTTTAAGCGACTGAAACATAAAATAATGAAATAGAACAGATAAACTCCCAATCCTCCAATCCAGCCGGGTCCTTCTCGTGAGGCGCCCCTTCATAAAATGTTCTGCAGCTGACTCAGCACAGCAGCAGTCACTTCATTGGCCTCTTGTGATAAAAGCTTTCATAAGGACAGTGTTGTAGATACATGTATAACCAGATTTACAAACACGTTACTAATACATAAGTTAATAATACAAGTTCACGTTCTTTTAGTTAAATAATTATCTTTGGTCATCAAATTTAGTTTTGTACTTTGGATCCTTTATTAATATAATAAATTTCAACACCAGTTTCTTTTTTTTACTTTTCCAATGTATATCAATAGCCACATACTGTATGTTCAGCACTTACAGAGAAAACCTTTGATGACTCCAGATTTTAGTTGTAAGAGAAATCAAAACAGCCGTTGCCTGTGGCGAATAGCACACCTGCAAACTGGGTCAGCTCTGGTTCAAATCCGCACGGCGTCATTTTTCCTTGAGGGGTCAATACTGAAGCGCGAGAGACAACTTTTCATTATATATGGTTAGGTTTACAGGACGGATCAAGAAATATAGTTTAAAAAGTCATACTGTAGCATCAGTGCATCTAAAGGCAGTGTGCCATGGCCCAAAAAGGTTGGAGTGTTTCCCAACCTTTTGGGGTGTTCCCCAACCTTTTTGAGCCGTGGCACACCTTTCTCCATTAAAACAGTCAAATGGTACACCACCAGCTGAAACCGATACAAACTGATGTTACTCTGCAGCCTCTATTAAAAAAAAGAAGTCATTCTCATCAAAGTGTATTACAGTATATACAGAATGCAAAGAAGTATTTCTAAGCTTTTTTTTCACATTATTTTGACCAAGTAGGTGAAATTGGATAATTTCCCAAGACAAACTGAATAACATCTCAAGGCACACTAATGTTCCAAGGCATACAGGTTGAAAAACACTGGTCTAAGGACTAAGAAATCAGTAAATAATCATTCGAATTTACAGAATAATAATTTTCCACAAGTAACAAATAATTTACCATTATCTGTTCATAGATAGATCCAATATCCAGTATCAGCTCAATTACAGATGCTTGTACCGGTCAGGAAGGAGCAGATACCAGGACACGATTATGATTGAGGTGAGTCTCTTTGACGATCATCTCTCAGGCGAACACAGAGGGAGTGATCATAAAAGTGTGCATAAACTGCCAACTGTACAAGCTCAGGAGGTTTATGACGGATTAAATCACTACAAGAGATGTGACGTTTTAAATGTAGCTGTGTTGCCGTTGAGCACCAAGACTTATTTAGCAAACAGCTGTATTGTCACTAAAGAAAGTGATCTAGGGATGGATGTCATTGTGAATAGAAATGTATTGCTGTATATAAAAATCACATAAATAGAATCCAGGCACTTCAGCCCAAACGTCTCCCAAAACAGCAGCTCTACTTAGTCCTGCCCATAGACCTCCATCAATAGCTATGGCAACACTGCATGGCTCTATTATAATAATTGGATAGGGTATTACTAGGTTGGAGCTGAAGAACTCATGTGCTCGGGGGATTCTCGCGGTACTGTAGACTAAACCAGACTAAATTCACGTGGGCTACACAGAAATTTTACCTCATAGAACTCAATGGAAACTACAACCTACAGCTTTCATAAAGGTCGGGTCTTGTGGGGATTTTAGGGTCCCTTGTCATCCTGAACTTTTTTTCTTCTTAAATCCTTCGGTTTTCTTTAAATACACAGTTTAGTGCCACAAACTCTGCTCGTCTGGCTCTCGCTCTAACTCCCGCTCTGATGAGCAGCTCTGATTGGTCAGAGCGCGGCCGAGCCCCTCTGTGCACGTGCGTGAGAGCCACACACACGTAGATCATCCACTGCGCAGAACTGGGAGGACCAGACGATGCCCAAATACAGGCGAGTTCCCATGGATCTTTGAGAGGCGAGTTGGCGAGTTCCGCTAATCTTTCGGCGCCCATGCCGGCACAATGCGCCACTGAGCACAAATCATTCATTTGAAAGGGCGCTATCTTGGATCGCCGGGGCTTGCACCACTGTCACACACAGTCACTGTAAATATTTCTACCAAAATAAATCATCAAGTGTAAGAAACGGACTGAAATCAAAGTGGAATTGAATGAAATAATAGGTCAATGAAGCACTTTCAAAAGAGAATATATACTAGTCTTAGACTGAATGAAGGTGAAAATTGTTCATCAATATAAGTGATTGCATCTATGATTAAGAGTGCAGCATCTCTAGAATAAGCCCCTGTAATATATTTAGTGTTGTAATTTTTAAACATTTTTTTTGGTATGTGGATAGCAGGACATCAATTTCTGTGATTTTCCCATACTTAATCCTAGTATGAATCTGTAGTGTGAGCGAACAATAAGTGATGGGTAGGGCCAATGTTGCCTCTGTCAGTCCACCCCAGGGCAGCTGTGGCAGCAGTATTGCCTACCACCACTGTATGGAGTGAAGCATTATATAAAACTCTATGATTATTTAGTTATATCCAGTGTATTGGCTGCCAGCATACTTATCTTCACTCAGCATGGACACACAGTGTTGAACTAAAGGGTTCGCATCATCCCATCACTCACCCATTGGTGCGACCCCTGCATGCGGCAGCAGCACCGCCTCAGCAGCCTTAAGAAGCCTCAAATCCAATCATCTTTTCAACCACTGTGGCTTTCTACGGCTTTTTCAACCACAGAATCAACCAATGAAATACAAAAAACAACTACCAGCCCTTAACACATCAAGTACAAACAAAATGGTCTCCCTATGTGCGTGTATATGCAAGCTTGGCTCACACACTGGAGCAAGGTGACTTCAAGGTGAGTCCACGCGGCAGATAAACATGCAGCAGGCGGGTACGCAGCAGAACACGGCACACAGGAGGCTGTCCGGGTTTAGCTTTAAGCAGGTGCGCGGAGAGCTTGTGATGGTGGGGGCACACGTTTTCTTTGTCCCCATAAAACTGGCAGCTAAATGGTCATTCCCTGAGATGGCAGGAGACACAGCGAGCGTTGCCATGGTGACGCCGACATGGAAGCTGTTGCAGTATAATCACAGCGAGGGTTAAAGTGCTCTGTGTTCTTCCAATGAGAGGCAAACGTGTGTGTTTTAAGAAAGGGATTCTCAAACAGTGGTGCTCCGTAAGCCTGTCACATAAATGTCAAAAAAAAAAATACATTATTTAAAAAGAAGAAGGTCCTTTATTCGTCTCACAATGGGGAAATTTCTGTTTGATGCATGCACATGCACATATACATATACATCAAGGCAAGCAGCGAACATCACTTCCGTGCTCCTCATAGGCAAAGTGGGTTAGGTGTATTGACCAAGGACACAACGACAGCAGACATCAGTAGGAGTCGGTGGAGAGGGTCTCGTGGTGGGCTCGAACGCTTCGGGCTCAAAGGCCAATGCTCTACCAACTGAGCCACTGTTGCCTAGTCCTAGTAAGTAGTAAGTAAGTAATGTTTATTTATATAGTGCATTTTACAGATCAAGGTCACCCAAAGCGCTTTACAATTGTTCAGAGTTCAGATATTTTTCCATTCTCTCCACACGATGATGACGGAAGCGAGTCGCCGAACACACTGGCGCATCAAATACTGATGATAAATACTGAGGCCCACATATTGTTACATACATCCGTTTTTTAACAATAGTAAGTGTCTAGTCCTTAACATCACCACTTCACTCAAATTGCTTTGAATAAATCTGGTGTGTGAGAATGGTTGGTGGTGGCCCCAGCCTCCAGTGGCTCTACCTATGCCTAGACCGGTGGACAGACTGCTGTAGCTGTAGCACTGCCTTTATATTATCTTACCATCATTGTGTAAAGAGTAAATGACTATTGCAAACTGCTTATGTCTGTGAAAGCACGTCTGAAAAAAGAAAGATGACTTAATTACTTGTCACAAGACAGTTTGTCCAATAGAAGCCTGATCTTGTGAGAGGATCAGCACCTTGGCATGAGAAGGGAGGAGGCACGGCTAATGGGAATGTTAAGTTGAATATCATAAACAATAACCCTTCAGGAAAAATGTTGTCTTGACTGGAGCAGTATTCATTTTGATCAAAGATCTCTATTTAAATGCAATTAAGAGATACATGTTAGATCCATTGATAAATGGAAAACAAAGTGATGCAATATTTTGTCTGCCATAACGATATATGCATTGTGACTAGCCAGGGGAACACTCCCTTTCAGGCAGAATTAGG